TACCATTTCCACTTCATTATGTAATAACACCCACACATTTTGTATAATATACTGGTGTTTAACAACCAGACACTAAAGGAAAATAATGAGGTAAAAACACAATAAAAGTGGTCTTCATACCTTATAGAGGTCTAACAAAAGAATTCAAAATGTGGGCAGAGTTTTTGTATTATTAATGCATCATCCCTGAGAGTTATATTTAGCTTCCCTGATGGAAAAGTGAGACTGAGATTTTGCATGATTTATACCTCTAAACACAAACAGATGATTTTTTTTCATCCCAAATGTTTGATTTAATCAATAACAATTCAATGTGGTATTTGATTGATGTTAAATTATAGCATCTTTTGATTAGAATGATAAAACAAAAGTACACCTGTAAATCAGAATATAAATATGGTAAACAAATCATGCAGAGGAGAACGTTTGGTTTTGTGAGTCCTGAGTAGTGTCTGCAGAGCTTACCAGCTCTACCAATCAGAAGTTTAGGACAGAAGCTATGTAGCCTGAAAGGCTATGTAGCCTACACACAAAGCAACAACTTAGATCTCATTTTGTCACCTCACAGCTAGTGTGAAAGCCATCCATGGTCCAGTATGTGACTTGATCTGGAAACCTGAAACGTCCAGTGCACTTTGCAAACTTTTGAAATCAAAAATATCTACATATTGATAGATTCAGGATTTTTTAATGAGGAAGAGGGAGAAGATATCATTTTGAGAGTTTTTTCGCAAGGTATTTGAACTCTTTTGTAGAAAAGTAAGGCACAAATTATTATTCAAAGCATAATATTTTATGTTTTAAAACAGTAGCTCTCAAATGGGGCCCATGGGAAAAATATAAAGGGAATTATTAAGAAAATTAAAATTACTTACAACTGTTGAGAATGGAAGTTGCAGCCCTAAATGTCATCTTCAAGCAATAATAAACGTGTCTCTATCTAAGCTCAGTATCAACTAGATACTAGAAAAGCAAGTACTGATAATCTCATCTCCAGTTCATAGTACAGTATAATACTGACTCCAACAAAACAAAACTGAAAAGAGAAGTGGAAAAACATGCCAAATGTTTCTTGAAAACATACAGTCTAATGGGACAGGTAAGTGGATGGAAAGAATGGCAGTACATTACAGCACTGTCAGAAATATATCTATTATATATCTACTCCCTCATGCAAATAAATACCTCCAGAGTCAACGAGACATTCCTGACAGACTCTTGCTTAAATAAACCGTTGGAACCCCATGATACAAAATGATTCCACTGCGAGTGCCTGGAGACTCATTAGCTCACTCTGACATCCTTGCTGACGAGGGTGATTTCCAAACGCACCCTTCAGAAGCCCAGTGTTTGCGCCGCCAACCACAGGCTTGCACTCTATTGGGCCTGCGCTGTGTCCGCTACAGTGGCATCCATCCTGCAGCTGCACTCTGAAACCTCACACTACCACACTTATGGACGCCATCTCAATATTTCATGGACGAGGTGCACTGATATTGACTCGGCTGAGGATATCTGCCTTGTGCTCTCTACATTATTCACTCCCATCTCTTGTGGCTGGGCTCATTTGTGTTGACAAAGGACTAGATGGCAGGATGTGATTCAGTCTGTCCTGCTCAGATTCAACTATTTTTATCCCTGCCATGGACTCTGCGGCGCTGGAACGACATCACTCCTCTATTTCCATGTTGAATCATTTATACAGCGCAGGGTCGGAGGTTGACCTCCGCTTAAATCTGCTCCCTGCACACATCAATTACACATCCATTGTTCTTGCTGATTGTCACTGGGCCAAATACCGTACAGAAGGAGAGGAATGTGCACTTTTCGTGACGTTTTTTCAGAGACATTTAAATGCTATATTTGCCCCACAAGTCGGTCTCGCAGGTTGATAACGCTGCGAGAAGCATCTGTTCTCCGTCTCACTGGGAGCAGCGGTGTAAGTTGCCACAAGGTATGATTTAAATGCTAAAACCACCAGAGCAACAATTCACAGTGAAGTGCTATTTAGCAGGTAAACAATGTTAAATACTGCCAAGCCGCGCTGCTGTGGTCCTGCTAGTTAGCAGGGCCGAGCACTGCCGACCGTATCTCCTCTGCACTGCTATGCGTCTCTTTTTCAGGGGGCGCCTGTGTGCGGCTTAGGAGGTAGAGCCGGTAGTCCAATATTCAGAAGGCTGATGGTTCAATCCCTGGCTCCTCCAGGATGTATGTTTAAGTGTCCATGCCACCGTGGACACCAGTAAAATATGCAACTGGTAGATTTGCTTCATACACCAGCCTTGAAAGCAGTGACCTATTGAGTGGCTAGTAACGTTTGAACATTCATTGGCCATTTGGCCAGTGGACAAATGCATCATTTTGCACCCTGGTTTTTGGGCACGATACTGAGGTCCCAAGTTGTTTGAGTGTGTGCGAATGGGTGAGTGGTTTGAAGACAGTCCAGGTACCTTCTGACAGTGTTCTGCTCTCTGTACTTTGTACTTGTACCTGAATCTCTGTTGTTAGTTCCACTGCACAATATTAGCCTTATTTTGCTTTTTACTGATTGTATTCAGCCCTATTGGAGTTCTATTCAGGGTTGGATCCAGAAGGCTGGCATGGGTTGGTAGTGCCCCAGTCACCCCTGTTTGGTGCTTATGCTTTCAAACATAACACATTCATTTAGATTAATTTAAAAAATGTGATAAAAATGGATATTAATTAAATTATTTTTTATACTGTGATAGGCTTAAGTCCAGTGAAAAACTATGAAAATTGATTTCTAATGCCACCTTTAGATATTTATATTCATTGCTTTACTAAAGTGAAGAGAATGTAATGTTTTTGAGTTCAAATATCTTCATTTGGGGGCTTTTCCAAGCAAGTATTGATATATGTAATTGTTTGCAATTAAATCAGAATATATATTTCTGCAACTCCCTAAGGGGCCACTCTCTGGCCACCCTATCAATATTTCTCTAGATCCGCCCCTGGCTGTGTTAAGTTAACTGCTGATGCAAAACGAATATTTCTTCCATTTTGAGGAAGTAATAGAAAATCCAGTCTGCTGTTAGACGTGCTATTCTTCAATAAAAACAGGTCTAATCAACCAGACATTGACATTCTCTGTGTTATTTGGGGAGCGGATCAGGATTTTAAATATCACAGGGAGGAATAGTACAAGCAGAAACAGCCAGAGTGAGCTGAAAAGGGCTGCAGGCGACATGCTCTTACTGTGGTTTGTGACCAGCTCGCCTCCAACATGTCATCATGGTACTTTACCACGCTGTGCAGTGCAGTGGAAAAACACGGCCTGGCTAGGCGTGACTACCTCCCCTACTATAGAAATACCCTACAGTATTAGTGGATTAGAACAGAATTCGTATGTTTCACCCTGAGCCATCTCATAAAGATTGTCCTGATACATGTAAATATTGACTGTGTTTACATACACATTAATATTCCAGTTATGGTCAGGCTTTTGGAGTATCCCTTTTATAGCCCTTTCCCACTGGAAATGTGTGTATGATGTGGGTCTTTAGCCTGTCACAGCTGTCACAGGTTAATCTCTCGTTTTCACCCTGAGGAGAGACTCCACTCTGCAGTGTAGCCTCACACACTTCACTGATAAGCACAAGAATTACACTGAATAATTACCAAATAAAAATTCTCTCCCGCTACCCATATTCTTCTCTGTCTCACTTTTGTTCGCCCACACACATGCGCTTTCTTTGTCTTTCTCTCTCTCTCGCGCGCGCTTTTCCGGTCAGTGGGTTAAATGATGTTTAAATGTCAATATAGCTCAATCAAATTACGTCCCTAATAGAGACACCTGGTTGACATGTTAGGGATGCAATTAATGATTATTCTCTCAGTGACTCAATTGTTTGGTCTATAAAATGTTAGATAACAAGGAAACATACCTATCATAATAATGTCTTTTGGTTTTACAAATATACAGTTTACTATGATAGAAGACTCGAAAATATTCCAAACATTCACAACGGAGAAGCTGGAACCAGAGAACTGTGTAATAATGGACTGTAAAATCCATTCGACTTAGATTTTCAGGTCAACACAATATTTAGTTGGCTGAGGCACGTTCATTGCAGGTTTAACCTGCATTTGATGGGGTCATATCCTGGTTCCAAAAACATGAATAAGACCCCCATGTTTTTAAGAAACCTGAATGCTATGCAGTACACCGAAAGAAACTGGGGCACTGTGACATGTTCACACCTGATCATTTTAAGTCCTGTGCTGGTGTGTCCACAACTTGAGTTATGTTGGAGCCTAAACTGTCACTAAAACAACAAAAACATGATGATAAAAAATGGCTACATGCTGAAGTCTGACACTGGCAATGCAGTGGATTAGGAGCAGGCACTATGGATAAAATCCTCTTCTCACAGCATTGGGTATACTATATAGTATAGGTACATAATAATAATAATAATGTGGTCGTTTTTCTGGAAGCCATTGGAAATTAATGGATAAAAAAGCCAGAAAATCCCTTACAGATCAAGATGCTTAATCACATTTATGCAAAAATCTGAACAGTCTCATAAGAACATTAAAAATAAATGTAACGTTAATTTAGAGGCAGTACAGTAAATTCCTCTGATTGTTGACACATTTACATTGTCTCAACATATATATAATCATATCCCTACAAAGGCTGAAGTGTTATTGAGGCTCTTATCCATTGTCAATAATCAGATATAGAAGTTCGATCCATCAGTGTGGTAAATGCATGAGAATCTGGGCAGACAAAATGACGGATCTAATAAAAGACAAACCAGCACAGATGATCACAAACCTGGCTAATATTAGAATCATGTATATTGTGACTGACTACCATGACTAACTTTTTAAAGGTCAGAGAAAGCGGAGCTGAAGGTAAAACCTGAGCAGTTTCACTCGCACAATAAGCATGGCCGCTCTGATGCAGATCTCCTCTGCTCAGTGGGAGTATAAGCTTCCCACTGTGCAGGAGGAGCGAGGGGCGATGGCCTTACCTCCGCCACAGGCACTCCCTCTGGAGGGCGACAGTGCAGAACGATCATCCCGTTGATTGGCACCTCCTTCCCCTGGGGGTCCTGCTCAAAGTTTTTCCTCAGGTCTGTGTGGGGAGATAAGAGGCAGCTGTCAGGTGTCAAGTGTTACGGTCAGCCCGGCCTCAATCCTCTTCAGCAGCTAACACGCCGGCCTGCCCCTGGCTCTGCACGCCACGACCTTCAAAACCCACTACAGCCTGTATAAGATAGAGAGGATCCCATGGCCCTGTGCCGAGTAATCTGTTGACAAGGTGGTTTGGAGGATACACTGGATGGAGGAAGTGCACAAGGATTGCTCTGATCATCCCGGGCATTCATGTGCACACAATAGTGACAGATCCCATTCTGCCCATTCTCAATACTGCCTTTGATAGGTTATTGCACTGCTGCTATCCACTGAAAAGCTTTAAAATGTCAGCCTTTTTGGAAAGTAGGAATGTGCCTTTGAAATTTCAACATGGGTTATGAATGGGTTTCATGTAGCCTAGGATCATGAGCAATTCACTGCATATAAGGGATCCAAATACAGGGAGGAGACTCTGTCATCGTGCCTCAGAATCTCAGTTCAGCTGGCAAGTGGGTAAGTGCAAAGACAATGATATGCAAATCCAAGCAGATCAAGATTTTGACATCACATCATATTTAAACTCAAATTCTTACTTCCCTCCTTTAGAGGACAAGAAAAGACTTCTTTAGTATGTGATTTCTCTCAGCTTTCTCTTCAGGGCTACATAAAAACATTAAATTCTGCACAGAGGAGGGCTCCTAGATAACCTATAACGCCCTCTGGCAGCAGTATTGGATTTGGACACCAACTGGCTGTGAATAGCTGATTGTGTCTAAACTTGATCAGACAGCATTCGTTTCTGGGCATTGATTATTTCACCGCTGATAAATCTGATTCATTTTCCGCTAAGATAATGTCAGCATGCTGTGTTTACATAGTTTGGTCCAAAAGAAACGTCTACCAATGTCCCCTTTTTTTATCTCCAGTCTGTATGGGGTTGAAGTCACATGGACACACATTGTAAATCAGTTTTGGTGACCTGTCATTCTGCATGATCATAATACTATGGGGGACCTCCAGGGAAAAATCAGGAGCTTTTTTTCCAGTTACTGACAGCCAGTCATGCTTTACCTCACTGCACTTGAGGGCTTTATTTTTTATCTGCTTTTATCTTTCATTTATTTTTTCCATTTATATTCTGCTCTGGTGGTCACAAGAAATAACTGGACACAAGCTGTAATCAGTTCTATTTGATCCATACAAGTGTCATATATGTGACTTAAAAGTCCAGTGTGTAACATTTAGGAGGATCTATTGGCAGAAATGGAATATAATATTCATAGGTATGTTTTCATTAGTGTATAATCATCTTTGTTATCTACATTGTCTGTTCGTACGTTGTCTGACAAACCAAGTACTGATTTTAGATAGGGCTTTTTGTGTTTTCGCGGCCACCATAGTTTCTCCTACACGCTTGGAAGGCAGGCAGTATTCAGTTGGTCGCAATCTACAACTTCACCGCTAGATGCCACTAAATCCTACACTTTGGTCCATTTGATGTTTGCGTCATAAATGAACAACATCAGTTTGACTGGAAGTGGGTTGAGATCTCAGTTCATTTGTATTATCAACATACTGTAGGGGGTTGGATGAAAATTCTAATCAGCCTGAATGAACAGAAATAAAAGGACAAACACACCGGAGTTAACTTAAAGTCCAACTGAAATCACAATTATTCATCACTGCTCACAGTCCAAAATCATGTCAAAGTGACCTTATTTTTTAATTTATTCATTGTGACATGCTTCCACGGCCAGGGGTAGGAAAAGTCAAAGTAATCCTGCTCTGCTAACTCCAACTTACAGGCTAAGGACAGATGGTATTTTGTTAGCAGTTTAGCATATTAACTAACCAGTGTTGACATTAGCAGTTCTGTTCTGAACTGGTTACAGCTTGAGAAGGTAATGTTGGAAAAACTAACAAGAAAGGGCTAGATTTTGAAAAGTTCCCGATCAACAAATCATTTCATTTGGCCCGAATGAAATGATTGGCTGGGCTTAATACACGTCTGTGACAGCCACACATATTGGGGTTCTTTCCTTTTCCTTTCCCTTTTCCGAGCATTTCATTTATTGCTTGCTGTCGGGATGAAAGGAGAATTTCAAGCTAGTGTGGATTGTTTCACTCTTTATGTGTTTCAGGCTGCTGTCTGAGACTGAAATGACTGAAATTTGCTGTCTTCAGAAAGGTTCTCTAACTATGTAGCCAGAGCACTAACAGCATTCCAGCTGCTTAATGCACAAACATATAGATTTGACCCTTCGTTTTCTTATAGCAGACCATAGGACATGTATCTAGAGCAGACGTGTATACTGCAGCAGAAAAACAATTTCATTGAGGGGAAGATGAATGTCTGTACAAAACAATTTTCAGTCTGACTTGACCTGAATACGATCAGTGTGAACAAAATCTAAGCCTACTGTATCAAGGCAACTTATCTGTCTTAGTGTAAACACTACTGATTAGCACAGTAGTTGATTTAGTATACATAAGTTTCAGGTACTAGTTTCACCTACACCAACACTGGTAGATTTATTTGGCTTTATTCAAGTTTATTCAAGCCAATTGAACTGATTGTTTAAAAGCTGTAACTTAGGACTGATATAGACAATAAGGCCAAAGACAAGATAGTTTACTTCATTTGGAAACCCACCCATCTCCTCAGACTATTCCCTTGTCAGTTCAACAGTTTTCTTGCCATATGTTGCCAGATGCATGTTACATGAAGCTTTGTGACACAGTTGCGACAGCACTGATCACTGAGGTGTTTCCATACTCACAGGCGATGCGGACAGTAGCCTTGCGACTCTTGGAGGTGCCCAGGTGGCTCCAGGCGACACAGAGACACCAGTAGTCCTCGGGGCCATGGAAATCCTCCACCTGCTGGCGGGATACATTGATCATCACCTCACGCACCTTCAGCCCTGTGACGACAGAGAAGATAAGAGAGTTAGAAACTACAATACAGTACATGGGCTGATGCGTTGGGGTTGGATATGGTTAGTTTGATTGGCTCTTACATAACCCATTGGTTCCTAACAACGTGTTGAATTTAGGGTCAGGTTTGTTTTGTTGTGTAGCCTAACATTTCGGTCGGTTTCGGATTTTATTATTTTCAGCTACGTATATTAATAAATGTCTCTCTCTCTGCCTTTCTGACTGAGCCAATTCCCACTGGGAAGCAGGAAGAGAGGCAGAGCATTGCCAATGCATTGCATTAGCTTGGCGAGCTACCTGCCACATTCATCAGGCAAATACTAGGATAAGGCAAAGGTGATCTTGTTATGAACTTACAGGTAAAGCTGATTTTCTGCATTGGTCTAACCAGTGTGCAAACTATGCCATGGCTTTTTTTTTTTTTTTTTTACAGTGGTGGGGTTTTTTTCGATGGCAAAAATAGCACCCTCATGCAGGGTGCCTGCATGAATTATGCATTGATAACCCAACTTCACACACAATCCGTGGTGATAGAAAAATAGAAATGCATGGCAAAAATAGCATATTGTCAATATTTTAGACTTTACCTCCAAAAATGTTTTAAATTGTGTTTCATGTCTTACTCATGTTTTACTAAGAGGACCCAGCTCCTGTAGTTTGCACCCTGGGTCTAACTTATATAATATTATAATATATAATCTAATATGTTATTGCCATTGCAGAATGAATTATTTCATATTTGTGAGAATGTGTTACTTTGTATTTTGACAAGTCTGAAGATCAAAGTTATTGCAGTTCATATTGAGGGGAAGATGAATGTCTGTACAAAATGTAAGCTCACTGTGTGCAGCAGTTTGGATAAAACTGGTGGGCCGGCCAACTGACAAACCAACACAGCCACCCCTAGAGCCATGCCACTATCATGGTATTCAAATATTAGGTCAGGTTCAGTTTAGTAAGTTCTGAAATGTGCATTTACAGGCTGTGTTCAGGCCTTTGTTTAAGGCACATGCAGCACTACAGTTAAAGGAGAAAACTGCCATGGGAAAGCCCTGTATTCTAAATAAGGGTCCTTGCAGAATCTTTAATCAATACCTCAATACGTATACAGGCGTGCGTCAGTGATCAATGGGTTTTACAGGATTAGCTATGCATAAGTTCTTAGGAAAGGCTGACACACTTCCTAAATCAGTGCATTCTACCCCTCTCTTCTGAGCTGTGAGAGCACGGCTAAGGAAATTGGCAGAAACACAGTCCCTCAGGGGCCTCTACTGTATGTTTTGAGCGCTCAGTGCTGCTAACAAGGGGAAAGCTAAATCAGCTGTAGCAGAATTAGCATTAATAATTTGGACTACACTTATCCACTTCAAAGAGCATGTGTAGGCTCGCTGTGCAAGCGACACACGGACAATATACCATATTATGTAACACAAAAGGCATGAGAACACAGCACGATGCACAATGCTCTTATTCCATTGAATGCATTAAAGAAAGAAAAAAAAGACACTCTATTTGAAAATCCTCTTTGGCAACATGCTGCGAGCCCCCGGTTGGAAATGTTCATCAACCTGTCAAATAGCTTGAGACGGGTACAGGGCGCCCATTTTTAGTCATCGGCTTAGGGCCTGTCACATGTGTTTTCTTGCTGCTCCTCAGAGCTTTTTACAGCCTGCAAGTAGCACCGGGGCAATATGACAAAAATTATGATCAGGATATTGTTTTCCATATTGATCAATACTGATTTTTATCAGGGAGTACACATTATTTTTATCTGTTCAGCCAACTAAATTATCTATATTCATATCCATACTCCATAGCTAGAATAAGCGTGGCTTATACCGAATGTGGGTGCTGCATAATCCACAAGCTAACCAGACTCGGTTAATCAATCTAGGAATGACTGAAGCCTGAAGAAACCAGAGGGTTCATAAATTAAACTTTAGAATATAGTTTACTAACATAACAATAGAATAACATAAACATTTAACTTTGCCAACATGCCTTATCGCTGGGATGGTACATTTTCAAGGTGATGGGTTTCCCATCTTGGTTGGAAATATACCTTCAGTTAGATGGTATATTTCGCAGTCCATCTTAATCTGGACTTCACTTTTAAGATATCTAGCCCACTTATATATTATTATTATATACATTATATAATTGAAGTCATGTTACTCTTCTTGTCGACAATGTCCTCAGCCTTGCAGGATAACGTTAGATAACTTGGAGTTCACTTTCACCGGGTACTTTCATGTCTCCACTTGTTCTTTTCCTCTTTCCAGAGGAATCCACTTTCTTCACTGGTAGATCAAACAGTTCTTTGCGGTAGGAGATGGGACTGACTGGCTGTTGTTGTGTATATTTCTGCTGTGTGATCAATTGAGAAAAAAACTCCACTGAAGGTTATCATAGTTATCGACATAATAGGATCACGATCCTGTATCGAGTTTGTTTTATCTCCAAGCCCTACCTGCAAGCCTTATACCCAAAGCCCGAAGAAAGGCAAGGGATGTGCAATGCGCTGGGGGCCTGGAAAACGCCAAACCCCTCCACCCCTGACTCTTCTGGCACTTGTGCATCCATTCCCTTTTATAAATAACACTCTAATCTGACATGCTCTTACTAAAGTCAAACAGTCTCATACTGAGGCTGCACAGCTTGTGAAGCGCCAAGCAGGCTTCCAAGTGAATACCAATTAAACCCGAGTGAATGGCAGTGAGGCTACTCCGACGGATCCATGCTGGCGTTCGCAGTAAAATTAAGAAATGGAGAACATTTAGTGGCGGGCGGTCTCCACTGTGCCGGGTATAAATGACAACAACAGAAAAGTGGCCCTCTTCCTTTTTGTCACACCAAACGCGACAAGTTGACAAGTTGTGAAATGCTGATACAAATTAGGCGGTTTGTCTCAATATGGTGCACTGCAGTATACTTGGTGACCAGGGTAGTTTAAATTGTGATTGACGGGCTTGGAGAAAAAAAAGTCCACATTTAAGAGGAGGAATAAACAGAGCAGCAGCTCTACGGTTGGTGTTTCCTAGTCGCAGCCCCTGTAGAGTGAGACACAAGCATAATTCATAATTTCTCGAGCAGCGGCAGAGAGCTGGCAAGTGACAGCGTATGTGTGGGTAGAGAGACAGCAGAGAAAATAATGACTAATGACTTTCCATGATGCCCTAAAAAGTGTGAGTCTGTGTTTTGGAGAAGAAGAATGGGAGAGAGATGACAGAGAGACTGATGGAGAGAGAGAGCGAAAAGGCACCGGTAAGCTTTCTCGACAGAGCGACACATTTCCTGGAGTCCAAAACCGGCGTCGACAGGTGGTTCGCCGGAGAGACAGAGACGAGTGCTGCCACTGTGTCATCTGTCAGCCCCATTTGTTTATAGGCAGAGCACTGTTGACAGGGCTCATTAGAGTAAACCACTTGATCTGTTCTCCTCCCCAATCCCCTCCTCGCAGTTCCCTGAGTCACTTGATAAAGTCATACAAAAAGGCTGAATCACTCTAAGAAAGACTGGCAAGATGGCTGAAATAAGAGTAAAGTATAGCCTGTTCTGAGATCCAAGGGGAGGGGAGAGCGTTGCGGCTGTGGGCTTCGCCATAGTCTAGCTTAATAACTCAGATGTGGATGACAAGAACTTCATTAAAATGCTGCATTAGGATCACTTCTGCTTAAAAGCTTCAACTTCACGGGTTTGAGTTCAGAAGAAAACTTTTGTCCCATGTCATCGTTCTCGCTCTCCACATATTTCCTCTGGTTCTCTTCTGTTAACCATCCAGTAAAGGTAAGATGGGAATGGGATGCTATCCCATAGATCAATATTAGACGTTTTAGAAAATGGCAATATCTGCCCAATGTACTGGCAAACCCAAAATACTGGTCCACTGGCTCTGAAGCAGAGGGAATTAGACCTTGTCACCCTCGTTTGAGAGGCCCTGCCCTCGATTTAGAGGTGATCTTCCATTCAAATATCTGTTTAGATGTCTTTAAAGTAACACTTTGAACCCTCTCTTTCAGCTTGGCTTTTACTCCTTTACAGTCTTACAGCATAGCCACTTTGCTGGGGTTGCCATATATTCTTATTCTTACTCTGTCAGGATAAGTTAGGGGATGGGAGGCCACAGTGCTATAAGGTTACTATTATACAGTATGTAGTTATTATAGCAAAGACTACAGGTGTTGGTATATATAATCACTTTATCCCAAAAGTACATTAAAGCCATGGAGGGCAGGAGTGGATGAACTCAGTAAAAGAATAACCGCCTGTACGAGACACTCTAAGAAGTAAAGAAAACACACCTGCAATGAGGCTGGTTTGGCTTAGTATACAATTATCAAAACAAAAGTTTAACTTCTTTATTATGTGTCCTGCTTGTTTCTTTTTTTTTTTTTTGTGCTGTTCTGTCATTGTGTGTGTGTTTTTTTAATTGTGATCTGCCAAGAGGAGACTGCATATGAAAATGAGCTTACCAATAAGCTCTAAGCTTACCAATACATCAAATACATGTACTTCGTCCCATAGAAAAAAATTAAAGATAAAAATAAATGTAAGCTTTATGAATTTTTCTGCAGTAACAGCGCCCTCTACATTAGTGTTCTCCAGGTAGCGTAATTTGATCGGTGCAATATCTGTGTGGGCACTGATGTTGTTAGCTGTTTCTGTAGTCTCATGTGTCGATATGTTTGAGTACCATACGGAATGCTGAGGTTAGAGGACAACCTATTGCTCTGAGTGTTGACAGTCTGGTCATTACCCATCATCTCAGCTGGACCCATGAAAGAGCGACAGCTAACGCAAGTTTGAGTTTGCAGGAGCTGGACAATGGCACTCAGCAATTAAGTGAGCAAACTTGGTTGCTTTCACTGTTCACTGGTACTTCAGGTTGGCTGCAGATGTGTGTTTATTAAACCTCACCACGGCTTATTGCAGAATTCCTCAATTGTAGATTCTCAATGCTATTTGCTTAATGTGCCTAGATGATGAT